CCTTCAGGGGAAGAATATCACCAGAGACAAACCGTTCACGCACGAAATAGCAATCCATCTCGACATGCTTCGTGCGTTCATGGAAAACCGGGTTGGCAGCAATGTGTAATGCAGCCTGGTTATCGCAGTAAAGGCGAGTAGGAGTTGACTGGGGGACGCCCAACTCTTGAAGCAACCAACGAAGCCAAATGAGTTCACTCACTGTACTAGCCATGGAACGATACTCCGCCTCTGCAGACGATCGTGCAACAACCTTCTGACGCTTGGTCCGCCAAGAGATAGGTGCGGATCCAAGCGAGATATAGAAACCTGTAGTAGACCGACGAGTGGACTGGCAGCCACCCCAATCAGCATCACAGTGTGCAATAAGCTCAAGCGAATTCTTGGCAGGAAAATAGAGACCCTGACAAGGAGAGGTTTTTAAATACCGAAGGATACGCATAGCAGCATCCATGTGTGCTTGAGTAGGAGCATGAACGAAGCGACTAAGTATATTAACCCCATAGGCAATATCTGGTCGCGACACAGTGAGATAAAGTAATCGCCCAACAAGACGGCGATAAGACGATCCATCCACGAGCTGAGCCGAAGTAGGCTTGGTGAGCTGGTGGTTTTGTTCAACCGGGAAGGCACTAGGGTGAGAACCAAAAACCCCCGCTTCTGTGAGGATATCCATGACGTACTTCCGTTGACTGACGATGAGTCCCGCAGGAGTACGGGCCACTTCAAGCCCTAAGAAGTAACGTAGAACTCCAAGGTCTTTGATGTTGAATTTCTGATCAAGAAACCTTTTGACATGATTGATAAAATCCATATCATTTCCAGCAAGTATGACGTCATCAACGTAGATAAGAGCCGCAACAAACGTAGAGCCCTTCTTATAAATGAAGAGCGAATGATCTGCGGGTGAGGCACGAAAACCGAGATCACCAAGAGAGACAGTGAATTTTTGGTACCAATTCCTGGATGCCTGACGTAGCCCATAAATTGACTTTTGCAAGCGACAAACACGAGAATCACCATCTACGGCAAAGCCAGGTGGGACTTTCATATAAACTTCCTCCGACAGATCACCATGGAGAAAAGCATTGTTGACGTCGAGTTGATGTAAATACCAACCCTGACTAACCGCCACTGCTAACAGACAACGAACCGTGACCAGCTTAGCTACTGGTGCAAATGTATCATGAAAGTCCACGCCCTCAATTTGCGTGTAACCCTTTGCGACCAACCGCGCCTTATATCGCTCAACAGATCCATCGGGATAATATTTGACTTTAAAAATCCATTTTGATTCAATGCAACGCTTACCTGGAGGAAGGTTCTCAAGCCGCCAAGTGCCATTGGCCATAAGTGCAGAAATCTCTTTGGCCATAGCTTCCCGCCAGCATGCATGTTGCATGGCCTCCTTGAACGTACGAGGTTCTGGGATGCGATCAATCTTGGCTAGAAAAGCCTTATATTCTGGACTAACTCGTTCATAGGAGACGTGATGAGAGATGGGGTAGCGTACATGGGATGCCGAGGTCAAATCGGTCTCGTAATCAGCGAGATGACTGGGTGGGCGTTTACTGCACAACCCTCGTCCCAATGCAGGTTCGCTAGGCGCGGCAGGAACAGGAGTGGGACTTTGAGCAGTGAGAATGCCAGGGCTCGGGCAAGATGGAGTAACCTCACGTGGCGCTGGAAGTGGAGATGTATCACCAGGTGGAGAATCTTGCACCGAGGGACTGCTAACAAGTGCTGGGGAGGCAGGTGTCGCACTCGCACCATGGTCGCCCAAAACTTGTGGAGATTGGGAAACCAGTGGAGTAGAAAAGTCATCTCCTGAAGCTTCATGATTATCACATAATTCCATAGTCACCGATTGAGGAAGCCAATGGAACTCACGTGGATCTTGCGCATGAAATGGGAAGTAGTCCTCATGAAAAACCACATCACGAGAAACCTGTATCTTCCGTGAGAGTAAATCATAAAACCAGTATCCTTTCTGAGTTGCTGCGTATCCCAAGAAAACACCAGCACGCCCCCGGTCAGCAAATTTCGTGAGTCCCCCATGTGCATCTTTGGAGTACAAAAGACATCCAAACACCCGCAAGTGCGAGTAAGCTGCCGGCTTTCCAAACAAGATCTCATAGGGGGTTTTACCTGTTGCTGACGTAGGGATACGATTAATCAAATAAACTGCAGTGAGTATACACTCTCCCCCAAAAACGGACTGGGAGACCTGCATGAAAGCGAAGTGCACGAGCGGTCTCCAGGATATGACGATGTTTGCGTTCAACAACGCCATTTTGTTGCGGAGTATCTGTGCAACTTGTTTGAAGTACTATTCCAGATCCTTCGTAATATTCTCTGAGTGACGAAGTTGCAAATTCCAAGCCATTATCTGCCTGAATACGACGAACTTTTAGACTGAACTGTGTTTGCACCATCTCACAAAACATAGTGATGTAACTAGCAACTTCTGACTTGAACTTCAAAAGATATACCCAAACACCACGACTGAAATCATCGACAATGGTTAAGAAATAATGAGCTCCACTAGTGGAAGCCGTTTGATAACCACCCCATATGTCTACATGTATCAGCTCGAAACAACACGTAGTCTTAATAGAACTGTGTGGAAAAGGAGTACGACTCTGCTTAGCGCGAAAACAAGAGTGACATGGATGTTTATTCTTGACTGCCGAAAAAGAGATAACAGAACTAAGTTGAGATAGCTTTTCCGAAGATAGATGTCCCAGCCGCGAATGCCACATCGACTCAGGGAGTTTGTGTCGACCATCTGCAGCAAGAGCCAACCGTTCTTGTTCACCAAACATCTTCAAGAAATAAAGTCCATCACGGAGAATCCCCCTCCCAATCACGTTCTTGGATTGTAAGTCCTGAAGAACACACATATCACGGAGGAAAATTATCGCGACATTATTATCCCTAGTTAGCCTGCTGACAGATAACAAATTACACTTGAATTCAGGCACGTGTAGTACGCGCTCCAACTTGATCTCTGAGTTCAACTGTATGGAACCAATACTCTTAACTGGGACATAATCTCCATTCGGAATTTTTACTGGCTGACTGCGTTCAGTAAACAACTTCGTACTAAACATAGACTCATCTTTAGTAATATGCTCATTGCAGCCAGAATCTATTAACCATTCACAACTACCAAGGAACGTACCTGCCATGTGAGCAGCCGGATCATCCATTGCCTTGGACGAGCTGAAGAGTTTCCGAAGTTGTTCTAGTTGAGTAGGAGTGAAGCCAGTGACCTGACTGGCGTCGGTTTCAGCTGCGGAAGCTCTGGGGGCTCGCTCATCTTGAGAGCGTTTCTTCCTCTCACCCTTTTCAGGTTTGTCACTGCCGCTGCGAGCCGGGTAACCGATAATCTCATAACAAGTTGCTTTAAAATGCCCAACTTTTCCACAGTGCGTACAAAGTGGCTTGCCGTCATTAGTTCTTGGCCCAGTTGGCCGATCTGCTCGATCATTCTTCTCCGATTTTTCACCTTTATCCATGGTGTTTTTGGCCGCAAAAGCAGCCGCTTCCGGAGACGGGCGCCTCTTTTGTGTGAGTAGTCGCTGCTGCTCATCTGTGGAGACAATGTCGTATGCCTCACTCAAACTCGGTGAGGGCTTCATAGTCAATATCTGACTTCGAACAGTACCAAAACTTTCGTCCAAACCCATGAGAAAATCAAGGAGCAGAGAGGTGTCCTCCTTGGCGCGAATTCGAGCCTCCAAGTTACAAGTGCAATTGCCGCAGGTGCACTTTTCTTGAGGCGACATAGACTGCGCTTCTTCCCATATCGTACGAAGACGAGTGTAGAATGTGGACACTGAAAGTTTCTCTTGCCACAATCCGCTAAGCATGCGTCGGAGTTCATACCCGCGGGTGAGATTTCCTTGACCAAAACGTTCTTTTAAATCAACCCACACTTCTCTCGCGGTTTTAGCGTACCGAACACTACTTCGCACCTCCTTGTCCATGGATATGCGAAGCCATCCCTTTACGACAGCATTGCAGCGAGTCCATGCCTTCAATTTCGGATCAGTCGCAGGTCACGGAATGCTTCCATCAACGAATCCGAACTTATTCTTGACTATCAACGCATCCGTGACGTCAACCACCCAATCACCGTAATTCGATGACGTGAGTACATCCGATACAGGGAGTTGACCATTAATATCGGAAGGGTGCAAGAAATATTCAGAGGTTACATCAAAACCTTGACTCATCGAAAACTCTCCTTTCATATCTGAAGACCTTTTCGACGGATCTTCGTCACTCATGATGACTGACGAACAGCACAGCTAGAACGCGGATTCACCCAGACCTGGGCTCTGATACCATGTTAAATCGAGAATAAAACGAAAGAGACACGAGATTTTTACGTGGTATCCCTGACGATTTGTCAGGACTAATCCACCGGAGAGATCAGCCTCTCCAGCTCTGATATTATTACTTACTGCAAACTTGTACAATGGCTGTTTGGCCTACATCAACATTATATAGCTTTGGTTCTACTTGCCCTAGCTGTACACGAACAGGAGAAGAAGAAATCCTTGCCGTGCACGTACTGGCAACATTTGTTGCTTTGGGCTGGATTGACAACTTGGGCTGCTGCTGCCCCTCTCGGCTGGACTGGATCACACTGGATCACGGGCTTGGGCCGCTGTTCCTCTCGTCCCAATAGTCTTCCAACAACTTTCTCCTTTCTAACGGATGATATAGCAATGTTTTCTTTTTCCATGTCTTCTAACGGATCAGTGCTTTATAGAAAGCTTTCAGTTTGTTTCTCGAGTTAATCCTGTGAGATTATGTTGATGATAATACTTGGACGGATCTTGATTAAGCATGACGGTTTAGACTTTAGAGCACCACTTCGACTGTTGCGTTTCGTCAATTTTTGCTCTTCTTTCGGGAGCTTTAGCTAGGGCTGTGTTTGTTTGTGTTTTAAGCATGGTCCATGAAATCGTACCGGAGATCGTATCGGGAAAGTCAGTGATAGAGTATTTTATGGTAAGACCGTGATTTAATCGTAGTTCAACCGTTATATCGGTAAATACCGTCTATCGGTTTAGCCTCCGATACTGGTATTTCATGGTTGAACCGCCGGTACGGTACGATTTCATGGACACTGGTTTTAAGTTACAGAAAAAGCCTCCGACACTTTTCTTACAAGCAAACCTCTTTGCCTAACACCCAAGCTTTTTTTTATATGTACACAATGGCCGTTCTAGACCTTCAGTACATGAACAGTTGAACACTAGGAAATGCAGCGCATGGAATACAAAGCCATGGGATTGTCCATGTTCGCTCCGGCGCAGTACGGCCTGGGGAAATCGCTCTCCATGCCGTAATCCAGCGTCGTCAGCGGCCGATACTCCAATTCTTCTTCGTGATCCTTGACGAACTCCGGCACCTCCATCTCCCCTTTCCTCACATACTCCCACATGAACTCCAGCCTGCTCACGTACTTCACCTTCCCGTACAATCTGCTCGCCGACAACAACAAAGAGAAAGGGGGGAAAAACAGAGTGATTACCCAATTGCCAATTTACCAATTTACCATGCTCTGTTTCTTGTTCTACCCGACCGGTTAAAAAAATTAAACGGATAACATATTTACCCGCCGGTGAAAATGAAGCGGCCGAAGGTGCCGAGGAAGATCCTGGCTTGGAGCCCCGGGTGCACGAAGTACACCGCCTGCAGATTCTCCTTCAGTGGGTCCGGCACGGCGTCGTAGAACGACCGGAGGGCAGAGATTCCGGGGAAATTCTCGCCCCGCTGAACTCCGGCGTGGAAATACACTACGGAGAACGGCTTCTCGCCTAGCTTGGGGAAAACAGAGTCCTCCAAATGCTTCTTCACCGCTTCACAGCTCACCATCCGAGCTGAATTCGCCACATACCCCAAAAAAATAAAATTTTGAAGGACAGAGCAAAAAAGCTTAAGGTCAGTGAACTGAAGAAACAGAGTAAGAATTTGGTTACCGAAAGCGGAATTAACTTTACCGGGTAAGTATTTCCCGATGACGCGGAGCACTTTGTTGCCGCGCTTATCGCGGCCTTGAACTCTGAAGAGCTGGAGCTTGTCGAGGAGGCTTATTTGGTCGGGGAAAGAGAGGGATAAAGAGGCAGCCATTGCTGGACTCTGTTTTAACAGCAGTGGGAAGTTTCTTTTTTCTTTTACGTTATATCTTGAAACTTTAATGCGAAGAGGGGAGATTTATATTAGGGGGAAGGGGGTGTTTTTGGTGAATTTGGGATTGTGAGAGGGGGTGGTGCGGAATTTTTAGAAAGTTGAGGGACGGGTTTGCAAATTTAAAGGGCAGACATATCTGGAAAGAAAAGAGGAGGGAGGTGGGAAAGAGAGAATATTCAGGGGAATCTTCGGTTTGTTTGGATTGGGCCGAACCGCTGGCCGCTCGCCGCAGTAGCAGTTTCTGTGCTCTTTTGGTTTACTACTAGAGCTTACTTCCTTCTTACTCCTAGACCAAACCTGAAACGTGTCCGGTGTGTTGTTTCCCTTCCCCGTAACGGTTGCAATATGAAAAAGGTAGTTTTTGAAAGTAGGTTTGCCTTTTGGGGAAAATATAAAAGAGTTATGCGAATTAAAATGCGGTTGATTTCAGTAATTTGAGCTAATAAAAATATTTGTTGGACGCATTTTAAGTTGGATTCGTGTCATTTATCCTCATAAAGCTATAATAAGGAAAATATAAAGAGTTTTGACTTTTGAGATTTAACGATTCTTACTTTAACCGGTATGCAAATTAAAATGCAGTTGATTTCAATAATTTAAGTTATTAAAAATATTTGTTGGACGCATTTTGAGTTGGATTCGTGTCATTTAGCCCCATAAAGCTATAATGGGTCATGGGCTATCTACATAAAGATGGATATCTTCAAAGGAAGGAAAAGATAACAATACGACGCCTAGCAACGACCATACATCGTTCGTCTGCTCTAGTATGCAGCAGTACATGGTTTGTCGGAGATCGGCTCAAAAGGAGGAAACAAAGTGAGGATGCCCTCGACTATAAATAACAGAGAAGGTAGCCACAATCATATACGGTCTAATTCTCTATACCTTTTACCTTTCTAAAAAAACCACTTCAAACTTGATCGTGTCGAAGGTCTAATAGGTCTCAGCGGCCCCATGTTTGTGACTACGAAAGAAGTATGCATATGACTACGAAAGCCTAGGGTCAATGAGGAAGGGGAATCAAACTTCAACAAGAATCAAATATATGAAATCTGTAATTATGTTTCCATACACACCCCTTCAAATGAAGCGTAATCCATTGACTTATTCTTCGATGAGGTCCAATATATCATTGCAATGAGTGAACATAATAATAACCGGAGTCATGAGAATTCTACAGTGGCAGAGCCAGCATTGCAAACAACCACTGTCCTCTTTTTATAATATAAATATATAAATATTTAATTAAAAATAATTATATATGCATAATTCATTCATGATTAAAAATTACCGACTATACAATCATTGTTTTTATAAACAACAACGAAGAGATTTCATATTGTGAAAGACATGCAAAAACATTCGTCGTCTACACTATTAAATAAGTTTTTTCAATGTATCTCACTAAATTAGCATTAGCAAATTGGTCTCCAAATCGACTTGAAAACTTGTTCTTAATATAACTCAAGCTAAAAATGTTTTTTTTTTACATTTGCAGTTGTAATTCGTAGAATCAAAACTAGTGGAATTGTCGTTGTCGCTAAACAATTTCAGGGTTGTTGGGGAAAAATCGAATAGGCATAAGTAGAAAAGAGATCCGACTAGGTCTCTATTGCAATTTAGAATTCGTTTATAGTATAATAAATTAATTTTATGTCAATTTATGAATAAGTAATGAGTTGTGTTGTAGTGACAAAAATACTCTAATACTACCTATAATCAAATATATGAAATCTATAATACTACTAGATCACCTGACGTATAGTATACGCCTGACGTACATCAGTCATCACCATATATGGGTCAGACTGGCGTACGTCAGACGTATACTATACGTCAGGAACTACTAGTGAGATATCTCTATCTAGACCATGAATTAAATCGAGTTTGGGGTATGATACTATACCCTAACCTCTAATGGATAAACCCCAGTCACCGATTTTCTAAACCCTAACCTGAAGTTTGATTTAATGAAAAACAAAAATTGACGGTTGAGATCGGCCGGAGCTCATCTAACTACACCTAACTGCTAGATCACCTGACGTATAGTATACACCTGACGTATATATATATATGGTGCCTTCTACGGTACCCCGGGTGAAATCCGGGGTACCGCATACCTTGAGTATGAAAACGCTATCTAGACCTCGAATTAGCATGATTTTTGGGCATGATACTATACCTTAACCCTTAATGAGTGAACCCTAGGTCCTAATTATCTAAATCGTAAACTATAAACCCTAAGATGGAGCATTACTTTTTTTGCCTATATTTGGACGAATCATAACCGTCGATTATTATTTCTAATTCAATTGATCTTGGGATATAAGATTTAGAGAATTAAGACCTAGATTTTGATCTTTATGGGTTAGAGTATAGTATAATGTCCGAAAGATCAGTCAATTCAAGTTCTAGATAGCGTTTTCTTACTTAAGGTATGCGGTACCCCAGATTTCACCCGGGGTACCGTAGAACTCCCCATATATATATATATATATATATATATATATATATATATATATATATATATATATATATATATATTATACCTTGGGTAAAATCTAGGGTACGACATACCATGAGTAAAAAAATGCTATCTAGACCTCGAATTAACCGGATTTTTGGACATGATACCATACTCTAACCCTTGATGATTGAAACCTAGGTCTTAGATTTCTAAATCAAAGAGCCTAATCCCTAAGATTGTGCCTGTAATTTGTTGCATATATTTCGACAAATCATAGCCGTTGATTTTTGTTTCTAATTAAATTGATCTTAGTGTATGAGATTTATAAAACTAAGACCTAGATTTTAATCCTTAAGGGTTTGGGAATAATATCAGACGCCAAACTATGCTCAATTCGAGGTCTAGATATCATTTTTTTACTCAAGGTATGTTGTACCCTTGATTTTACCCAAGGTACGATAGAATCACCCATATATATATATATATATGGTGACTTCTACGGTGCCCAGGGCAAAACCCGGGTACGGGTGCCTTGGCCGATCTTAACCGTTCGTTTTCAATCTCCACGGCTCACGTTTGTTAAACCTAGCTGCGCCACTAAATAACTAAACAAATTACAAATTGCCTCCTCCGCGTTAAGTTAGTTTTCATCCTAGTCCAACTAACTGCCCCGGTTAAATTAAATGGATTAAGACCCAAACCCAATTGGGTAGACCCACTGCCGCCCAAACCAATTTCCAGTCTCCCTAACCAATTACACGATCCCTCTCTCGTCTTGGAGGGACGCCCCTTCACAGTTCCAAGAGAAGCTCCCCATCCACATTCGACGTAGATTGAATTTCCCAAAATAATTTTGTCTTGTTTCTTCTTCGCCAGTGTATTTCCCCTCGCCTATCTCTTTCTAACACGATTACGGCGACCATGTCTATTATTGTGTTCATCGAACTTTTCATTTGGAAAAAAACCCTTGAAAGAGGTTTGCTAACCCTAGGGTTCATGTCACTAGTGCTTTGTCATCTTGTCTTAGCGTTATTGTGATTATATCTCTCGGTGAAATTAAGGTTTCCTGATATGCAGTGTTCGTCTCGCCCAGAGGATTGAGGAAGGAGATGAAGAAGACCTAATTTGATTCGAATCAGATGGAGAGGTCTCCTTAATTTGTGTTTATGTATTAACGTTGCGTTTAGGACTAATTCTAGTTGGACTGGGTCTGATCATTGATTTTTGCAGGCTTTTAAATAACATTCAAACGTGGGCTTGTACATGACCCATGAAATATTCAAAATTGGGCCTGGAACGTGCGAGCCCATTAGTTTTCTCCTGCGGTATCAGCGCCAACCCTAGTTTAACTAGATTTAGTTACCCTAGTTTAACCTACACGAGTTAACATCATCATTACTACATATCTTCCCAAATCTTCTAACTCTTGACATTCCAGACTAAACCGTCTCCATCACACGTCTCCACACTCAACCCCCACTTTTTCTTACACCTACAATCTCTCTTTCCCTACAATTTTTTTTCCCCCCATATCTTCACCTCCCCTTGTTCCTTCTTCCTCTGACTCCATGGCAAACATGGGCATTCTAACTCTATCAAACGACGACTGCCGAACCACCACAAGTCTCGCGGACTATCTTTCATTCACGAGCAAGACAACTATTGTGGCCGAGTACGAGTTCATCAACCTGAGTCCTTTCCCTCAAGAAGTTAAGAAGTTAATTAAAAATCTTGGCTGGGAAAAGTTCATCGATCTCCGGAGTCGAGGAAGCACCAGTTACTGCCCGCATGCGGTGAGGAAGTTCTACCACAATTTAGAGCTGTCTGGTCCCTCCGATTCTCATCTCGTGTCGGTCTTCCTGGGTCATAGAGTCTGCTTCCAGCCTCATCAGTTTGCTGAGATCCTCGATCTCCCCGCCGCAGGACACCACATTGATAGCAGAAGCGATCTTCGGCGGCTGTACGATTTTGATTTTGAAGTTGAACTGGGGAAACTGACGGATGGGCGCATCCAGGCTTCTTACCTCCCAGATCCTCTTCGATTCCTCCATTGGATGATCGTCAACTGCTTCATGCCAAGGTACAGAGGTCATTCGATAATTCGTACACTTGACCTGTTTATCCTTGTGCAAGCTCAAAGAGGTGTTCCTCTTAACCTCGCATCTCTCATGTGCGTGAACATGGTTGAGGCGGCTCCTAGAGGGGAAAACTGGTACACTTCCTTTCCATATGCCACCTTCTTGACCACCTTTCTTGGAAGGGTTGGGATGGATATGGGGGTTTATGCTAGGGAGGACCATTCCGCCTATTTGCCAGTCTACCGTATCGTCGAAGTGACCAATACTTTTCATGAACTTCGGCATACGGAGCATGAAGAGACCCCTGAGCCATCCTCAAGCAAACGTCCTCGGCTTACATGAGAGTCGATTGATGCAGGGCGGGGTGGAGCAGTGCAGGGCGGGATGGAGCAGTGAAGGGGCCAGCATTGGATGTGTTTTGTTAAGAAGTTTACTGTAAGGCTTCGTTGTTTTTTTTTTCCAGTCTTTTTCTCCAGCACTCAAAACTGTCAGGTACTGAGGGGAGCCAGTACATCATCTGACTAGG